CACAGCGGCAGCCAAAGAATCTGCGAAGCAGCAAGCACTCGAGGACGGGAGAAGGAGCAATGATGCTATGCAGGGAATCCTCCGAAATGATGACTCGTTGAAGTGCCAGCTTCTTGAGCCGGGGGAACTGAAGCGCCTGGGTGATATCGTTAGAGAGGTGGCATTTGTCACAGAACCGATCAATTTATAAAAGCATAAGTACAAAAATAATCGTCGAAACGATCAAATTCTCGAACTTGAGCCCATATAAACCCGGTAGTCAACTGAAATCTCGAAGGATTTCAAACCAACTTGCATACAACCAAGATCACAGTAATTCAACATAACATATCGTACGTTACAACATTTCGCAGACGTTCGCAAATAGATTACATCATCAAAGAGTCATCGTTATTACAAAACCAGTCTTGTAAAACATGCGGAAGCAAATAGTTTAACTTACACACCCGAGTTCAAATACACATACTGGTTCGCTGATCACAGCCCGCAAAAGCATTCAGATAAGAGAACAGAGATCATGCCCATGATCTAGTCTTCATCACCCGTCGGGTGGAGACAATACTTACAGAATCCCTGATATAGAAGGTCATCTGCAACAAGAGGGAATAAACCCTGAGTACGGGAATATACTCAGCTAGACTTACTCATCGAAAACCAAAATAAATGACACCAAGGATTATGCATAGCTCAATGTAGTGGATCTGGCTGACACTTTCTTTTTGCAGAAAAGCACAAATAATAATGATCAACTCTTAGCCTGAACTAGCAGTGACTTTTTAGCCATTAACCTATCATCTATATTAGCACCTATACTAAGCAATCATTTTATTATGGTGCAAACATTAATAACCGTATCAGGTATTCATTGTGGCAACCTTATCATCATCATCTATTTAACCATATCGTTAAATTAAGTGAATCTACGTTGTCGCTGCTCAGTCAAGTTCTCACTATCCGGGAGAGACGACGATTCGAATCGATTCCTATCCAGCTGGAGGGGTATTCCTAAACACAAACCCTGCTTCCCTCGTCAGAGTCGCAAACAAGTCACCTTTGGTACGATTCAGGAGTCGCGAGTCCGAACAGATCGACATTCTCAGAGAACCACTCTGCCAAGGTTGTTCGGGACTCTAACCCACCTTGGACTTATGCCAATGGCTCTCTGCACATCCTTACTACCTCCAGAATGCCGCTACTGCTCGCGTCCCCGGCCTGAGTCGAGCTACTAGGCTTCGCGGTCGGAACGACTTATCCGGCCAGCTAAGTGTTAGGCTGCGTTCAACATGACATGAGGACGTACAGCGTATCGGTCCTTAAACGACTCAGACGGAGTCACTATGTTCAAACCTACACAAGACCCCGCCCGGTCTTAATTCATTATTCACATGGTTCTTTTCCACGATAGCAAATATAGCCAATCGTGATCCACCTCATCCTAAAGCTCGCAGGTGACAGGAAATCACCTGACTTCTACCGCACCAAGTATGGCTAAGCATTTAACCCGTTCCTGAACTTAAATAGGATTCCAGTGCGATATCTGGACAAGGAAGGATATATATGCAGCAATTGGTTCCAACCAATTCCTATACTTAATGCATCATCAACAATAAAATATACTCAATGTATTTGTAAAAACATGGGAGGCTTAATATGCTCCGGGGCTTGTCTTTCAGGAACGAGGAAGGCTGGTGGTCAGGGCACTCGGGCAATTCCTCCGCGGCGACTGCTTCGCCGGCTTCCTGCACCTCGGGTTCCTCCTCCTGATTGGCTCTCTCGAACTCCAACAACGTCACTCCCTCCGGCACACCTATTGCATGAATGCGCAAGATAAATATCATGGATGCACATGAATGAATGTCAGGGATGCTCAGGGAATGCACATGTTCGCTGTAGTTTGCATATTCCAACTTAAGCCCTATTCAAATTATTTTACTTACCAAGTTTATACAACCTAATGTATAATTGCTCATCTTCAGTTAATGACCTAGCACCTGCACCTAAGCATATTCTCAAGTTAGGCTAACCCCTAACAATCAACGAAAACATTGCATCAAGCATACACTCAAGCATTTGTATTTCAGCAAAATGAAGACTATGTAGCGGTGCAGTAAACTAGCCATAACTGGAGATTTATAATTCCAAATGACATGCAACAAGACAATCTGGAAAGCTTATGAAATTGTCTACAATTAATGTTTAGACCTCAAAGTATGATTCAATACTTTACCAAGTTGAATTCTTTAATCAACAGAACTCTGTCCTCACAAGGCAGAGAGTAAGCAAAACTGGAACCTAACTTTAAACAGCTGTAGTTTCTAAACTACTGGGCCAAATTCCCTCAAATTTTGACAGAAGCTAGATACATAAATTATCTACAACTTTTATATTCATCCCATTCACAGAAAATCAAAATATCATGGAGAACTGTCCAAAGTCCCCAGATCTGTCCAGAAGGACATAATGCAAACACATAATTATTAACTTATGATATAAACACTTAATTGGACAAAACCAACTTTACTCACATATCACACATATCACAAGAACACCAGAAAGTAGGGTGTTCATCCCCAAAACATTTATTTTAATACCTTTCTTAATTTATTTAATTAATTAGAGGAAATAGTAAACATATATGAAAACTACACCATTAAATCTACAAAAATTACGGTATACACTACATACCCTAAGTAGACTACCATAAAAATTTCACACCATTTGAGTAAGTATAACAACCTACACAAAAATGGTAAGGCAGAATAGCTTAAAATGGCATAATTAGGAAACCTTAGTGAAAAGTGTCAAGCAACAGATTTCATATTTTTCCTAGCATCCTTAAGGTACTAAGATACTACCTACCAAGTTTCATGGCCATATGATTCCTAGATAATTTACAAAAAATCAGTCAAGTATCCACCAATGATAAAAGAAAATATATAACTCAAAAACTACACATGTAATGACTCTCAAATTTTAACCAGAGCTTCTACTAAGCAATACTAGCTTACCCACAAAATTTCACAATTTTTGGATCACGGAAACTCAAGATATGATTTAAATAAGTTTGCATGCATTCAAAAACACTTTTCAAGTTCCTATTTAATTCATCCAAATTTTCCACTACAAGTGTTCATGTCATATTTTTCTTAAATACTAGACCTCCCTGTGAGTCTAACAAAATTGGAAGTACTCAATTTGGATCTACCAATTTGGAGTTACGAAATTTACAAAACAACACTAAAACTGGAATTTTTGAACTATCATATGAATACACAGCCACTGACGTGTGGGACCCGGGTGTCAGCCGACCCCACACGTCAGCGAGACGAAAACAGGGGAGGCGCACGCAACGGCGCGGCGGCGGTGGAACTCGCCGACGGCGACGGCAGTGGTACCAACACGTCCACCTCGAACTCCCGAGTCTAAAGACCTACTTGGCTTGGCCTATTACCGACGACCAAGATGGTGGCGGCGGCCATGGCGGTGCGGTGGTTCGGCCCGACGGTGAGGCGTCGACGGCGACCGAAATAGCGCAATTGCTGGTTACACCGAGCTTCCCCAACCCAACGTGACTCTAACGCACCCTCTAGAAGGACCCGTGGTGGTCGGAGATGGGCCGGCCACGGTGAGCGCCAACTCTGGCAAAGCTCAGCCATGGCGGCAGTGGCTGGAATGGTCACAGCGACCTTACCTAAGCTCGAATGGCTCGGCTAAGTGGTGGAGGACGTAGAGGCGAACACGGCAGAGCTACGGTGATGGTGTAGCGCGCGTTTTTGCAGCAGTGCGCGAGCTCGGCGACGACGAAGTTGGAGCGGCAATGGTGGAGCGGTTTGAGCTCGCTGGCTGCGCGCGGTGGAGGCGAAGAAATGAAAAATGGGCTGACGAGCTGGTCGGGCAGGCGTGCGGGGGTGTGCACATCGTGGCCAGCAGCGTCAGGGCATCTGCGGCGCGTGGCCGTGCGGTCAGACGGCCGGCGACGAGTGTCACCCACGCGTCGGACATTTTCTGAAATCGGTCAGGCACTGTAGCATCGATTCAGTGAAACCAATTAGCCTGACAGCAAGAATTGACAGTGTTTGATCTCTTAAACCGTGATGAATTAGTGGAAACAATGAACATGAAAGTTGTAGAGCTATAGTAGGGCTACAACTTTGATTTAGAAATCAACAGCTAATTCACAACGGATCATGAGTTATATCAAGCCAAAGTTGGCCCATTCAAACTGAAATGGCATTTAGGACTTAGCAAATTTTTCAAGTGTTGAATCAGCTTTAAATTCTGACTTGCGGGTCCCTTTTGAGCATGTTCTGCACATTTTCATGAGATGGTCATAAAACAACTTTTGTTCCTTATATAATTTGCTACAACTTTATTTTAGGTTGCTCAGACATGCAAACATTCTAAGCTATACTTTTTAAATAGTCAAACACAAGAGCTCTAGGGGTCCATAATGGTCAAACCATGACTTGGGAACCTAATTAGGCAAAATGATCAACATGAACCTTGTTCCTAATGACATTCTAAGTATAACTAAGTTGCTTAAGAGCATTATTAGCCACACCACACATTGGTCACACAAGAATCAAGCAAGGTATGTACTGAAACAATGAAAAACACATGAAATGTTACACTGGTTTCATAGTCATGTTTCACATGTTTCATGATCTTGTTGCATAATATTAACTAACCTTGTTTCACTAAGTGAGTGGCACATGTTGCACTTAAGTGTTGCACACTTTACATTTCATAAAAGAAACAACACACATGAAATATACAACATGTTGCAATGTTTCAAAATCATGTTTCATGTGATATAAGTTCACGAATGGATGCATGATGCTCATGTTCATGAAATGCAAGTGCAAATGTGGAAGCCAAACACCTAGGGTGTTACAGCATTGGCTGAAAGTGGCGACGCAAAGGGACGACGAGAACCGGAAGGTTGATGCCGGCTGAGGTGTCAGTTTCAACACATCATCGGTCGCAAAGCAGTCAATCTCCTAGAGGTTGTCGAGGGCGGGGGATCGGAGCCAAGCATCCACGATGGCAGGGTGGTACTGTAGGTGTTGTGCGGGGAAGCGAAAGCGGCGACCAGGGCCCCGGTGGGCGGAGAGGATACGGGAGACGACATTGATGGTGAGGAAGTCACCACCGTCGAGGTCGAGGTTGAGAGGGGCTGAGCGCCAGAGATGGCACCACCGGGTGGCGAGGATTTGGGTGCGGGCGGCATCCTTGGTGGGGAGGAGAGATATGACCTCACCCATAATGGCGTCCGGGAGGCGGCTGATTCGGTCGACCCCATCTTCTTCCTCTCCGCCGACTCTAGGCGGAGGATCTTGGATGTAGGGTTCGTCTCCTCCTGCTCCCGGTGGACAAGAATCAGCCGCTCGTTGCTGGTAGCAGCGAGATGTTTGCTTCACCCTCCTGTTCCGGGCTCACGGGTGCCTCTGGCTTCCTTCTCTTGGCACGGCGAGGCGCCGCCTGTGTCTCCATGGCCACCGGCCGGTGGGTTGATTGGGGGAAGGGGAAATGGAAACACGATGGCTGGCTGAAGGTGCGTGGTGGCCAAATTTTTTTACATTTTAGCCCCTTTTTTAAGTTTCTCACAAATAGACCCCTGGCGGAAAGAATTCAGAAAATGGACCTTTAGCTCGGCGCCATCGATGCTGGCGCCGATAGATGGCATGACAGGGTCTGGCGCCGAGCTCGACGCCGTAGATCTTGGTGCCGAGCTCGACGTCAGAGTGACTGGCGCCGAGCTCCTTGCCATTTAATCCCGGCCCAACCTTCCTGCCCGAGCGTTCTTCCTCTTCTTTCTTCCTCCTCTCGGGTTTTTTCTCTCCCCACTTCACCCTACCTCACGAATCGGCATATTAGACCTTGGAAACTTTGATTTGATCCATAGATCTTCGAGAGCAAGGTATCCTCGCTCCCCTCCTAGTTTTTTCGCATCGATTCGGTATATATTAGTTGGATTTTTGAACGTAATAATCGTCATCACTTAGGGTTTCATTATATCCCTCAATATATGTATTATACAACCGTTGGATGATGCCAATGCGTAGAAAAAGCTAGCAAACCTAGGCGCATATAGTTATGTTATGGGTTCATTGTTGTACATCAAATGGGAAACCCTAGGTTTAGGGTTTAATGTTAACTGCTTTCGGTTCTTAGAACGAAATTGGTTGTATTGTAGTTATGGTTCTTATTGACATTTATTTGTGATGTTTTGATTTATGTTTGTTAAATTATATCCATTTTGTTAGATGCAAGAAATATTTCGGGAGGAGTTTTGGCGAAAACGGGGTCGTCCTCGAGAATTATACCCCGACGCATATAGCAAAGATGCCCCCATCCCTCCTGACCTCCCTGTCCCTAATTGTGACTGTGGTTTCCCGGCCCATGTTTTTCAATCGAAACATCCGGACACAGCGGCGCGTTGCTTCTACATGTGTAGTCATTTTAATGTAAGAAATTGTTTACACTATCCTTTTTTCTTTATTTGTGTAAGTATGCTACTAATATTTTATTGAAATCTTGTTGTGTAGGACCATGAGAGGTGCTTTTTCTTTCAGTGGATCGATGATGCAGACAAGTTTGATCCTAGGTACCTCCTTTTTGATGTTTGGTTTAGAGGGAGACATCCACGTGAGCACTTCAAGCGGTGGGTTCCACCCCCCTAACCCTCCACCAATGACGGCTAAGGAGAAGCACCTATCCGTAGTTAAACGACTCGAGGAACCTCTTTTGTGCGATTGTGGAGATCGAGCCGTGATAAACTCTGAGAATACGTTGGAGTTTGTGTGTCCAAACAAGCATGAAGTAAGTGCAAAGTGTATATGTTGAAATGTTGAGCTATATGTGTTCATGTACTAATGTCTACTTATTTAGGTGTTTTCAATGGCGAAGTGTCGTTTCAAGGAGTGGTTGTATGATCCTAAGAACCAATGGCCGAAAGAACCGTGAAAGGTTAAGGAAAAGAAAAAAGAAAGGGTAATTTACAAAGCACCTCCTGTCATGTGCGAATGTGGTGTTAAATCCAACTATGACCTAGTCCCTTTGGAGCTTGGAATATGCCATTATTGCGGCCATATGGTTAAGTATGATGAGGTTGGTTATTTTTGTGTTAAACATAAAATCATATTTTGTTTCTTTTGCTAAGACATATATGATATAATTTTTCGTTTAAACAGAGCACTAGAAAATACAGGTGGAAATGTTATGATGGTCAAGTTAAGTTCTTGGATGAACTAAAGAAAAGGCAAGTAATTGCACGGAAGAGGGAATATGGACCTGACTACGTCAACCTATTCATTAAACATCACAAAGAAAAGATGCGTGAGTTTGCTAGACAGCGCGGTATTTGTAACCCGATCGATGTTGGGCTTAACAAACGAGGATTGAAGAGACGGATGACATTAGAGGAGGAGAGGGCAAGGAATGAGGCAAGGGAGGAGATAAGAGTACAGATGCAGGTCTTGAACGAGTATGTTGTTGCATTATGTGCCAGTGAGTGCTTGAAAGCATTTTTTCATTGCCTGATTTTAAATGTAATATAATTGCATGGCTAACTGATTGCATTTTATACATGAAGGGATTGGTTACAGTGAGGAACATGCCGTAGAGCTGGCTCGTGCAAGGTATGAGGATAAGAAGTTAGATGAGCATAGATCTCGAGTTGGTCACACCGTTCAATCACCAATTGTGTTGTCTGATGAGGGGGACGAGGATGAGGACGACGCTGGCAGACTGAGTGATCTCATTGCTCTAGCGGAGGCGGGCTTGCAGGCGCAGGAGGCTGAGGACAATACTGGCAGACTGAGTGAGCTCATCGCTCTAGCAGAGGCAGGGTTACAAGCGGAGGAGGCTGAGGAAGACACTGGTAGACTGGACGAGCTCATTGGGCTAGTAGAGGTAGGCTTACAAGCAGAGGAGGATGACGACGTGTTCTTCACTTAGGTCACAGCGGTCGCAGATGAAACGGAGGCCGCTTACTACAAGTTCTTCCGTAAGTGCAATCTCCACATACAGATAAGGTTCTGGAACGGGAGGGTCGATGTGTGCCTGTTGATCCATTGCTGGGGTAAACCCATGAGGGATGGGATCAACTAACACCCGACGCATAACCACGTCCAAACATTGTAGTTGGATCTTCATAGCCTATCTCACATAGTTCTCCCACTGATCCGCACAACCAATTGAGATCATTCGCCTGAAGATATTGGGAGGAGAACCTAGGTGCAGTACACCATCAACTGCAATGTCATCATCTCCAAGACAATGCAACTCCTTCCGAACTCTTGCAACCATCTCACTAAATAAAGGCATATCATTGAATAGCATAGGCATGCTTTGCATGTCAACAAACTCAACATATCCATAACGATTGATTTCAACGGTCCCTCCATGATATATGGTCACTAGGTTGTCCATCTAGTTCAAACACGTAACGAAACACATGTCCTTTAGTCTAAATTAGACGATAGATAGTACCTAACAAGTACTTTCTAACTACAAACTAAGTCAATAAGATAATAACTACGTATATATATACAGTGTACTCACTAAATAGCTAGATCATATTTAGTTATGTAACTACATATCTAAATAGCCATCTAACTATATCTATGTACCTATGTATCTATGTTCCTATCTATCTACATATATATATCTCACTAGATTACTAACTAAATCAACTAACTGAGTCATCACATTAACTAGTAAATAACAAATGCCAACTAAGTAGGTACATTGCATATTCATAATTTTTACCTTTCCAATGACTGATCCGTGAACATCGACGGAGTCGCAGCAGACGATGGGTGTGGGTTAGGCCGACGATCGGGGCCAGCGGTGGCACGGCCGACCGCTGCAGGTGGCGGGGTCAGCGGTGGCACGGCCGACGACAGCGGTGGCGCGTGGCGGACACGGGATGCCCGGGGCTCCGAGCGGCGAGTCCGGCTTAACGGGCGCGGGAGGCACGGCGGCCGCGGGGCGAGGCCGATGGTGGAGGGAGGCAAGGAGGGGCGAGGCGAAGGCGAGGAGGGCGTGGCGGGCGGGGCGCCGGCAATGGCAAGCGGCCAGCCATGAACAACAGCGCGGCGAGGGGTGCGGTGCTCTCGCACACCGAGCGTCGGCTGCCGGGGCGGCGGCGGCGTTCAGCGGTGGCGCAGCAGCAGGGCGGCCGCGGATGGCGCTCGACGGCTCGAAGCGTTGGCCCTGAGCAAGGCGCGCGCCTTGAGGGCGACCGTGGAGGCGCGGGCGCGACGGATGGCGCGACGAGGACGGCTCTGCTCTGCTAGGGCGAGAGAGGGAGATGAAGAGAGTCGCGGGGCCCATAGGTAATAAAGGCTCGGCGCCAGTCACTTTGGCGCCGAGGTCGACACCAAGATCTACGGCATCGAGCTCGACGCTAAGATCTACGGCGCCGAGCTCGACGCCAGATTGACTGGCGCCGAGCTCCCTGCCATGCCATCTACCGAGCTCGGTGCCAGCATCGATGGCGCCGAGCTAACGGTATATTTTCTGAATTCTTTCCGCCAGAGGGTCTATTTGTGAGAAACTTTAAAAAAAAAGTTAAAATGTAAAAATTTCGAGCGTGGTGGTTAGTTTGGGTGCGTCTCCATATAGGTAGTTTAGGGTGCTCCTACGGTCCGGCCGTTCGGACAAGGTTCTCGCACCGGCCGCAACGCGCGGGAAATAATTTTCGCGGGAGTGCGCGCGGGCGGGGACGGGGGGCTGCTAGGGTCCGCTGTTCGGACCCTATGCTCGCGTCGGTCAGGAATTATGAGCGCGTACGGGCAGACTAGCGGGCCGTTAATTTAGTACGGCGCCGTGATACATGGGCTATGTACGTGAACCAGATACATGAGCTAGCTTGCGTCTTTTCTTCATTTGCACAAGTACATACGTGTACACGTACATAGTTTCTGCTTTATTTTCTTTGCTAGCACAAATGAACGACAGCTAATAAACCAACTAGCTTATGATCCTTGTATATTAGCAAGCTATATCATTGAGTGAAGACTTTAAACCGTATACTCTGACTCACGTATACGTCGAGTATGCAATTTTAGGGAAAAATACATGGACGCCGTATATACAAGCTGTCCGGCATGATGAACCAAACTAGGAGTAACTGTTAGCTTGCTTCTCTTATACTTCCTCCGTCCACAAAAGAATGCAATTATCGCTTTTCGAGTTTAAACTTTGACTAAATTTATATAAAAAGTGCAAATATTTACGATACAAAGTAAGTATAATTAGATTAGTTATAGAATATGTTTTTTATAATAAATTTATTTGAAGACATAAGTGCTAATAATATTTGCTATAAACTTGGTTAAACTTAAGCTTCTTTGACCGACATGCATCTCATAATTGCATTCTTTTACGGACGAATGTAGTATATTTATTAATTAGCACGCCCATGAAGATGCATGCATGCTTCTTTAGTGGCATATATATAATACGAGCCCATGCACATATGAACA